ACACAAACGACCAGGAGGAGGAGGAGGAGGAGGAGCAGCAGGAGGAGGAGGAGCAGGAGCAGGAGGAGGAGGAGGAGGTCGAGGAAGCTCTCTGCGGCTCGTCGGCGACCGTCCTCCCATCGGGGCCAGGGGGCGGGGGCCGGGCCTGCGGACCAGCTCCAGGCGCCCCGGGCCGCCGCCGCCGGCTCCGGCCGCGGGGGGGTCAAGAGGCGATCGATCCTGGGCGGAGGAGAAATGAGGGACGGGGGAGGGAGGAGGGAGGAGGGAGGATGAGGAGGAGGAGAAGGAGGAGGAGGAGGAGGAGGGAGGAGGGAGCAAGAAGGAGGGAGGAGGGGGGAAAGAGAGAGGGAGGGAGGAGAAGGAGCCGGAGGAGGAGGAGGAAGGGAAGGAGGAGGAGGAGAAAGGAGAGAGGGGGGCGGGACGAGGGAGGAGAGAGGAGGGAGACTGGAGGAGGGAAGAGGGAGGCGGGAGGAGGGAGGAGGGAAGAAGAAGAAGAAGAAGAAGGACGAGGAGGAGAAGCAGGAAGGCCACAGTAAAGCCAAGATGGTTCAGCCATGCTGCAACGCACCCTCCTGGCCCAAGTCCCAACATCTCCTCACAGGTCCCTGCAGGCTTCGTTCTCTGAGGGCAGTGCCCACTTCGACAGATGAGCTCCACATGGGTCTGCTTGTCCAGGCCAGAGCCCGTTCTGAAGAGGAACCGTCCGCCGTCCCTGCAGCTTTATGAAGTGTCACGATGGTTCACAGAGCGGCATGCACAGCGGGAGCCACGCGCTGGAAAGAGGAAACGCCCTAAATCCGAAAAGCCACTGCACTATTGACATACTGCGGCCATAACAAGGTGGTGCTCTGTGGCTGGCCTCCGATGGTGCCTCAATGGTTGCAATGGCATCATCATCATCATCATCATCATCATCATCATCATCATCATCATCATCATCATCAGCAGCAGCAGCATCATCATCATCAGCAGCAGCAGCATCATCAGCATCATCATCATTATCATCATTATCATCATCATCATCATCATCATCATCATCATCATCATCATCATCATCATCATCATCATCATCATCATCATCATCATCATCATCATCATCATTAAGGACAGGTCCCCGATGGGTGTTGCCCTATAGCGGCTGCCCTCTGAAGCCGCAACGATTGCGGTATTATCATTTCTGGTTCGGTGCCCGGTGGGTGGTGCCCTCAGACTGGCTCCATACGATGCCTGAATAGTTGCAGATTTATCGTTGTTGCCCTGGTGCCTTACGGGTGGCGCTCTATGGCTGCGGCCCCATGACGCCTTACTGGCTGCGATGTTCCCCTTCAGAGCGTCTGTTGTGCTTTACTTTACCCTGCGACACCTCGTGCTTGCAAATGTGACACTCTTAGACGAGCGCGTTCCACTACTCGCAAAGTGACTACTCGCAAATAGCCTGGATCCTCTCCAGAGCATCTACGATAAATTACATCGACGCAGACATGTTTCTCGGGCATTTGCAGGTAGGCACTTCGCGAGTAGGGGAACGCGCTCGGTGAGTTGCGAATGTGACACTCCTGTGTTTTCCTATGGATGGCGGCACTGTGGCCGGCGCCCTACCATGCTGGAAATGGTTGCGCCTGCCGCTGCCGCTGCCGCTTCCGCACGCCGCGCTGCCGCTGCGGCGGGGCGCCGGGCCGGGAGCCGCGGAGGCCGTCGAGAAGCTTCAAGACGAGTGGGCAGCGTCGTGCCCGCCGAGCGCCCAGGGCGCGACCGCCGCCAGAACCTCCCAGCTGCAGCCGCCGACGCAGCCCCGCGCTCCATGGGCACGAAGCCAAGCCGACGACGCGCCGCGACGACGACGACGTCGCCCTCGCTTCGCCCACGTCGTCGCCTGCCTGCACTCGCCAACGCCATGCTCCCCGGCCCCTGGAGCAGCCGCCGCAGCGGGCAGCAGGCGCGCAACAGCCGAAGCCGCCGCGGTCACCGCCGCACGCGTGAAGGCGCCCAGGGTGCGCCGAGGCGCCCGAGTACCGTGGCGCCACATGGCTGGCACCCTATGCTGCCCCAAAGGCTGCGTTTTTTTTGTTGATTAACGATTGTCCTATGACTGGCTGCCCTGGTGCCTTATGGGTGGTGGAATGATTGGTGCCTTGTTGCGTTGGTGCCAACACTGTGTTGCCCGCCGATGGTTCCCGCCGTGAGGGTTGCGAAGGTCTCAGTTTTGGTCAGGTGCCGTTTGCGTGGTGCTCTGCGGTTGGCGCCCTTTGGTGCCTTTGACACTTGCGAGACGATCTTTATTAACATGGTGCCGTACGGGTGGTCCTTCATGGTTGTCGCCCTATTATGTCGCAATGGTTGCGATGGACTCGCTCTGGACCTGGTGTCATATAGGCGGCGTTCGATGGCGAGCGCCTCATAATGCCTCATCGGTTGCGCGTTTCTCGTTCTCGCCCTAGTGCCTTACGGGTGGTGCCGTATGGTTGGCGCCCTAGAATGTTTGAAGTGAAGAGGGACGACGGAGGAGCGAGAAGGAAGTGGAAGGAGGAGCAAAGGATGGAAGGAGGGCTAGAGAAGAGAGAAAGGGAGGAAGGATGGGCAGAAGAGATGGGAGAGGAAAGAGGAGAGACAGAGGGGTGAGGGAGAGGCGGATGCAGGTGGAAGACCCTGAAATGGCTTCTGGCAAGGGAGGTCTCGCCCCAGGAATCCACCCGCACAGATTTTCCACCAGCCGCTGGTTCAATCTATTCGAGCCCAAGGTTTACAGGTTTCATCGCCCGGCCCGCGCAACAAAACTTAAGGGGTCACAGATAAGCATTGCAGAAAACTCGGGATGGTTTCATCGTCGTCCTCCCTACTCCTCATCCCCCTTCGACTCCACCTCCTCCTCCTCCTCTTCCTCCTATTCCTCCTCTTCCTCCTCCTCATCTTCCCTCCCTCCCTCCCTCCCTACTTCCCTCGTTCCCTCCCTCCCTCCTCCTCCTACTCCCTCCCCCCTCCTCCTCATCCTCCTCGTCATCCTCCTCCTCCTCCCCCTCCTCCTCCTCCTCCTCCTCCTCCTTCTACGTTAGACTAACGTTAGGCATGAGCCTGTTGCGTTTGTTACCCCCCCACCAAAAAAAAACGGGGCACATAATACCTGGCGGGCGCTGCAGGAACAGCTGTAGGAAAAGAACGGCGGCAAGTGTAGAAAACAGAGTAGGCGCCCGCCAGGTACACAAGGTCAGCGTACCACGGTAATAAGAGTCCCCCCAGCACCTAAGTATAAGAACACCCTCCTCCCCGCACGCCATCCGTTGATTCTCTGGTACTGGCTGCCTCGGGCAGAAGTGCAAGTGCAGGCAGGTGCACTCCGATCAGCAGTGTGGTAGTCACTGCTGATCGGGGTGCCGCGTTGTTACGATAGTTGCTGGCAAATGCGTCAGTTTCGCTGCCGTGGCGGAGTCTAGGTTGTCGGCTTGGGGGTCTAGGAGGGGGTAAACAAGTGTCGGCGTGCATGGCGTTGTTGGGTTTGAGGTGTCTGGTTTCGGTCGTGAGTGGTAGCTGGAAGGTCGAGAATGGCGTGGCCCTCGTGTCGGATCGAAGTGGAGGATGCGGCAAGTATTGGCGCTGGCCCTGGTGTACGAAGAGCTCGTTGTTGAACTTATCGAGATACCTGTTTTACCCTGGTGGCAACAGGGCGTCATTTGGGAGCCTGTACGTGTAGGCGTTGGTTCGTTCGTGGTAATCTAACGCGTAATGCCAGCGGTCGTCGTCGTAGCCATCGGCGTCAGTGTCACTGGCGCGGTGCAGTAGGCCGCCCAGCCGCTTAGGCAGCGCATGTCGTGGCAACTGTGCGGAGGCAACGATGTGAGGTAGAACTTATGTGTGTCTGCTGTTCCGTCCATGTTGGCCCAGGGGCCATCGTCGCCCATGCTGCTGTCGGATTCGGTTACGTCGTATATCAGTTCGGGAGTGCGTGCTCAAGGGTTGCGGGGAGACGCCGGTACAGGCTGCTGCGGTGGTGCAGGCTGTGTAGGTGGTGTTGGCATCTGTGCTATAGGTGGCGGCGTATATTCGTAGCTGGCGTCGGGTCTTGATATATCTTGTTTTGCTTGTTTGGGCTTGAATATCAAGAGTGGCATTCGCTGTTGTGGTGGCATCATATGTGTGGCTTGTGCAGATAAATCGCAACGTGTCCTTAAATACGTAATGCCTTCGCTCTATGTCGCGAATATATGCAAGTTAGCCTTGTACGAGATTGTAGTGGGGATGGCCAGATGCGACGTCAGTGGGCATTATGACTCCGTCTCCCGTCCTGGTGAACCTTAGTGGCCTGACATTAGAGCGCGTCCCGCTTGGGCGTGGTATTCCGAGAGTGGGATGTGGGCGGATGTCGTTGGGATTGTTTTCTTGGAGTATACAATGCTCGTTGGGGTGTAAGTCTTTGGTGGGTGCACGGAACAGGTGGCATAGTATATGGGGCCACAGGGTTGCGTAGACGTCGGCGAGGCCAGCTCGTAATGCATTGGCGGCGTAGGACGTTGGAGCTGGTCAGGTTTTCCCCGTATCGATCCTGCCCATTGTTTCAGCAGTTGGCATTCGTACTTCGACGGGTCCTGCAGTTCAACGTACCGCTGGAGGGCATCTGCTAAGTAGTTGGTCAGCAGCGACAGTAGCTCTGGGCATGTGCTGAGAAAGTGGTACAATCGTCTTTGGCGAACTTGGTGCGTATGCCGCAGTCCCCGTCCATCTGGAACTCGTATCTCTTGTTGTGTTGCTGGAAATAGATGTTGTAGAATGTCTCTTGAGGATATCCGCCTCCGCCGCCTTCACCTCCGCCTCCGCCTCCACCTCCGCCTCCGCCTCCCCCTCCGCCTCCCCTTCCTCCTCCTCCTCCTCATCCTCCTCCTCCTCCTCCTGCTCCTCCTCCTCCTGCTCCTCCTCCTTCTCCTCTTCCTCCTCCTCGTCCTCCTCCTCCTCCTCCTCCTCCTGGTCCTCCTCCTCCTTCTCCTCCTGCTCCTGCTCTTGCTCCTCATCCTCCTCTTCCTCCTCCTCCTCTTCCTCCTCCTCCTTTTCCTCCTGCTACTGCTCCTGCTCTTCCTCCTCTTCCTCCTCGTCTTCCTGCTCCTCCTCCTCCTCTTCTTTGTGTTTCGTATGTTTGTCAATATGATTCAGCTTATGATGATTAATTGCAAATGTCTTCTTTTCATTGCTATAAGTTCTAATGGTTTGTTAAAAATACTAATACTATTAATCTGGCTCGTAGTATAAGTCATCGTATTATTCATATATACGTTCGTCTTAGTAGTATAAGTAATATTTTACGATTCGTGGAATTAGTGTTAGTATCCGTGAGAGTTGTATTCTTATTATTCATCATGATATTAATGTGTGGCTTATTCTTATTCGTCGTCATATTCTTGTTATCATTAATATCGTCATACTTATTATTCCTCTTGTTGAAAGTAGTATTCCTCTTGTTGAAAGTAGTATTAATCTTATTGCTATCAGTATTATTCTTTGGACTGTGATGAGTATGTTTATTCTGGTCAGCGTTATTATTACTATGAGTTGTCTTCATCTTCTTCGTAGTAGTAATCTTCTTAGTGTTCTTAATACAAGTTATGTTCGAAGTATGATTCTTATAATATTATTAGTAGCATTTTTTAAACATCAGTATCATCATTGCTATGAATCGTTTAACGATTAATGATAATATCATTATTAATAGACTTAGTATTATGATTGATTATTTTCATTAGTAGTAGTAGTAGTAGTAATAGAAAGAGTAGTAGTAGTAGTCGTCGTAATTTTAGTAGTAGTAGTAGTAATAATAGTAGTAGTAGTAGTAGTAGTAGTAGTCGTAGTAGTAGTAGTAGTAGTAGTAGTAGTCGTAGTAGTAGTAGTAGTAGTAGTAGTAGTAGTAGCAGTAGTAGTAGTAGTAGTAGTAGTAGTAGTATTCCTCCTCCTTCTCCTGCTCATCCTGTTCCTCCTCCTCCTGCTCCTCCTTTTCCTCCTCCTCCTCCTCCTCCTCCTCCTCCTGCTCCTCCTCCTGTTCCTCCTCCTCCGCCTCCTCGTCCTCCTCCTCCTCTTTCTCCTCGTCATCCTCGTCCTCCTCATCCTGCTCCTCCGCCTCCTCCTCCTCCTCCTCCTCCTCTTCCTCCCCCTCCTCCGCCTCCTCCTCCTCAACACCACCACCACCAACACCAACACCTACCCCAGCCAAGCGCGCCGCGAGAATATCCGTCCCCGGCCCCTCGCAGTCCACTGCTGCAAGACCGCGTCCGAATGGCCCCTGTCCTCGCCCAAGCCGCCGGTCATGTTGACCTCGCCGGCAGCCAAGCTCGCACACCTCCCCCCTCCTCCCTCCCCCATCCTCGCCCCCATCCTCGCATCTCCTACCCGTTTCCCTTCGGCTGTCGTCCTCGTCCCCTGCCCGTTGCCTCCTGCCCGTTGCACTTCCTCGCCCTCCCGTTCAGCCCTTCCCCCCGTTGCCCTCCCATCCCCTTCCACCCTTCATTCATCCTCCTCATACCCTGCACTCCTCCAACACTCCTCCCACAGCCCTCCGACACTCCTCCTCCTCCTCCTCCTCCTCCTCCTCCTTCCTCCTCTCCTCCTCCTCCTCCTCCTCCTCCTCTCCTCCCTCCTCCTCCTCCTCCTCCTCCTCCTCCTCCTCCTCCTCCTCCTCCTCCTCCTCCTCCTCCTCCTCCTCCTCCTCCTCCTCCTCCTCCTCCTCCTCCTCCTCCTCCTCCTCCTCCTCCTCCTCCTCCTCCTCCTCCTCCTCCTCCTCCTCCTCCTCCTCCTCTTCCTCCTCCTCGTCCATCCCTTCTTCTTCTAGATAACTCACCCCTGTCGCACCCCGAGGCCAGTTTTTAGGGCGGGCCGGGCGTTTCGCCTGAGACTTCCTCACCACTAACGACTCTGAACTTTAAAAAGTGACAACTGTTTCACAGATGGAGGGCGGGTGGTTTTCAAAATGCGGTTCTCGCATTAGCGACGCGCACATTCACTTTCAAAATTTGCAAAAGTTTCACGGATTGAAGGCGGGTCGTTTTCAAGATGCGTTCTCGCCTTAGCGCCGCGTTTTCAAAACTTGCAAGAGCTTCACGGATTGAAAGCGGGTCGTTTTCAAAATGTGGCTCTCGCCAAAGCGCCGCGCACATTCGTTCTCAAAACTTGCAAGAGCTTCACGGATTGAAGGCGGATCGTTTTTTCAATGTGGCTCTCGCCTCAGCGCCGCGCACATTCGCTTTCAAAATTTGCAAGAGCTTCGTGGATTGACGGCGGGTCGTTTTCTAAATGTGGCTCTCGCCTTAGCGCCGTGTACATTTTTTATCTGCGGGGCGAGAGCGAACCTCTTCCGCTGGAAGCTAAGCGGGACGCGCGCAGCTCTAATTAGCAGAGAAAGGGCGAAAGAAGGCGGGGCCTCACGGCGGCCGGGAGAGGGCGAAGCCTTGGGACCAGGCGGTGCCGAAGATGATGCGCAGGGAAAGGCGCACCTTGGAAAAGAGCCCGGTGGCGAAGTCCCGGGAGGTAGAAAGGCGGCGGTGGCGCCGTCAGAAGCGCTTCGAGAACACCAACCTCGCGAACTGCGGGAGAGGACGCGCCACGTCACCAGGTCGACGCCCGAGAGGAAGAGAAGCGCCACTGGGTCGGAGCGCAACGTTGCGCCACCAAAAGTGATGCCGGGAGGTCCAGCAGTGGTAGTCCAATCCACGAACATGGGGATCCGCAGCCTGGGGCGCGGCAGCCAGGCGAACCGCAAAACCTGCCGCCCATGACCGACAGGATGCCGGCGCGCTGCAAGGAGAAAGCCTGCCCCGCAGCGGCAAGCGCGCGAGAACGGGCAGAAGCCACACACGTTGCGCTGCCGAGCCGCAGCGTCAAGGGCCGGGCCTGAGCCGCGCAGAGCCAAGACCAGCGGGGCCGCCGAGGCGGCAAGGCGCAGGCGCCCGGCACCGGGCCGGAGCCGCGCAGGGCCGGGCGGGAGGGGGGTAGCGAGCGGGGGAGGGGAGAAGCGGGCAGGAAGGAGAAAGACCGGCCCAGCGAGCCAGCCCCCGCGCCAGAAGTAGCGCGCGGCCGGGTGGAGCAGGGCACCCTGCGGGTTCAGGAGGGACAAACGGCCCCATTACCGGTTGAACGAACGAGGAGGGAGGAGGAGGGCAAGTCGCCGAAGACGCGGACCAGGCCGACGTGGACACGGACGCCGCCACGCCGAGCATGAAAGCCCGAGCGGCCAGGGCCAGGTAGGCCCAGCGGATCAGGGGGGACTAACGGCCCCATAAGCAAGTGGAAAGGCGGGGGGGCGGAGGAAGGCAGGTAGCCGAAGGCGCAGACCAGGCCGCACTCGCGAGGGGCGACGCGGCGCCAGAGCCAGGTATAGCGGCATGGGCAAGGCACCCGTGGCAAGAGGACCTTGTGGCGCTGCTACGCGTTAGCGCGTAGCCCTGCACCCTTAACAGTGCCCCGATGGGGCGCGTGAGCCCGCTCCCTGCGTCCGCATTGGACGGCCGCGCCCGCGGGCTGCCGGGCCCCTGCAGCCGGGCGCTGCAGTCCCAGCCAGCGTCGGAACAGGCGTGGGATCAGGGGGACTAGCGGCCCCAAGTCCAGGTGCGAAGAAGGGAGGGGAAAGGGGGGACCAGGGCGCGCGCATGGCTAGCGGCGCGCCGGTTGTACGCACGGCGCCAAGAGATCTGCAGGGAACAGGAGATGCCGGGTGCGGCACCCTGTGCGCCTTCAGGGGGGGCAGTTTCAGAGCTGGTCAGCGCCTGGGGCGTTTCCCGGTCCAGTTGTCGGCGTGCCCAGAGCTGCGTGCCTGGCCTCTCCGCATCCTTCACCCCTGGTTACCTCCCTTTTCTTCTGGAACTCCTGGCACAAGGCGCTCTCCCGCTCCCAGTCCACGTAGACGCCAGCGTTCCGGGGCCACGCCTCCACGCGAATAGTGGTTGTTGGCCATATTCTCGAGAAACTGATCGATCATCTTGGGCTGCCAGCAGGTCGGGTCGAACTTGACTTGATCCTTGGACTTGCCCTTGCCCTGCTCCTGACCCATATGCCTGCACCACGACTGCCAGGCTGCGGTGAAGCGGTAGCCCCCCTCGGCCTTCAGCCTCTTCAGGTGGGCGGCCGCCGTCTCGCGCGGGCGTCGCGGCCAGCTGGCACGGGGGGCCCCCCAGGGGCGGATGGGATCAGGGTAGCTGCGATCGTCCTTGTGCTGAGGCTTGCGTCGATCGTTCTGCTTGTGCCAAGGGGCCCACCCTGTGCCCCTGTCACGATCGCGGTCCTCGTCGTCTCTGGCTCGGCCCCGATCGCCGGTGCCTTTTTTTTGCCAAGGGGCCCACCCTACGCCCCTGTCACGATCGCGGCCCCGGTCGCGGTCGCGCTCTCTGGCTCGGGCCCGACCGCCGGTATCTCTGGGCGAGCGCCGCGCCGCGCTGTCGCGCGGTCCCCAGGGAGCTCGATCCCTCGCTCTGCCTCGCTCGCGCCCGCGTTCGCGCGAGGGGCGGGGGTTGGGCGCGGCGCGCCCAGCCCCCGAGGCCGCGGTTTTGGGCCGCGCGTGCACGGCGCGGTCGTCGGCGGCAACCGTCGCAAGCTCGGCCTGTCCCGTGGGTGCGCGGGCTGGGCTGTCTCGGTGCGTACTGCTCGTGTCGCGCTCGGGACTGCTGCGACGCACCTCTCGCGGGCTCGTCTCGGTTTGGCCCTGCCCGCGTGTTTCAGGGTCTGTGGAAGGTGAGACCGCGTGGACCGTGCCTGCGGCCTCCGCAAGCCTCTGCTTCTGTTTCTCTTCCTGGTCGTCATTGGTGTAGTCGGGGATCTCCTCTTTGGCGAGTTGGAACGGCAGCGGCTCGTACGCGGGGTCCCGAGCGACCGTGCTTGGCGCGCAGGATTCGGGTCTGGACTTGGGCTGAGTGCCATCTGCAGACGTCGCTGTGGCGCTTCCAGGGTCGGCGCCGGGCCAGGAGCTGGCGGGGGCCGCTGGCCCCTGCGGCGCGCGTGCCTCGCCGGGCCCCCCCCCCAGGAAGGTGGCTGCCGGCCGCGCCGCAATGCCGCGCAGGACGTCGACGCGTAGCGTCCTGGTCCCGGCACCCCAGACTTCAAGTCACTCGCTGTCGACTTGGACGATCAGGGTCCGTCCGTCCTTGTCGCGGGCCTGAACGTCGAGGATGGGTCCGAATACTGCTCCATCCAGGGGCTGCGTGGACAGGGGCTCGGTGCTCTGCGCCGACCTGAACCACCTGGCTCGGGGGAGGGTGTCGTTCCTGATGACCACGTAGTCGCCGCTCTCGATGCTCGGGCTGTCCGCTGCGATTGGGCGGGTGGGGCCCCGGAGGGGTGCGTCTGGGACGCACCCTTGCTGCCGTTCGCAGCGGTCGGCATCCTCGCGTTCAAGGAGAGGATCAGGAGTTGCGTTGGCGGCTGGTGGTGCCCCCACGGACTTGGTAGCCGTGGGTCGCGCGGCGGGAGGAGCCGAGGTGGGTTCGCTGTCCCGCGGCGTGGGCGGGAGTGAATCGGGGGGCGTCAGGCGCCGTTCCCTGGTGGGTTTGGGGCTGTCTGCTTGGTCAGGGGCATGGTCGTTGCGCCCGTCCGCGCGGGGGCCGCTGCCCTGCTGGGGCCCGCTGCTGGACGCGTGTTCCAGGGCTGGCTGAACTGATGTGTTGGTCTCTGGGTCCGCGTGCCTGGTCCCGCCGCTGCATGTCCCTCCGTCGCCCTGGCCCCTGATCGGCGCCACAACCTTTACGTCCGTATTCCTGGCCGTCACCCGTCTCGCCCACGCGCGGCGTTGTTGCTCGTTCTCTGGCGGGGGCGGCAGCGCGTTGCGAAGGCGCCCCTGGTGGGCGCGCGCCACGCACATTCGCTTTCAAAATTTGCAAGAGCTTCACGGATTAAGGGCGGTTCCTTTTCTAAGTGTGGCTCTCGCCTAAGCGCCGCGCACATTCGCTTTCAAAATTTGCCAAACCTTCACGGATTGAGGGCGGGTCGTTTTCAAAATGTGGCTCTCGCCTGAGCGCCGCGCACATTGGTTTAAAAATTTGCAAGAGCTCCACGTGTTCCCATGATCAACGTACCAGTGTGTTGGAAGGATTCAGGACCATGCGGGTGCAACAATTATGTTGGCTCGCGATGTTGAAGTTCCAAAAATGGCGCTCTGGCACGATTCTGGATCGTCAAAACGCAGCAGTCAGGGTGATACGTGGCGTTGAAATCCCGAGATCACTGTTTTGGAATGCTTCAGGGTCTCCAGACGGTTGTCTTCCAACGAGACGTTCCCGCAGTGGAAATGAACCGCAATGGGGGCCCATGAAGAGGGAGCTTGGAGGGAGGGTTCATTCCAACATCGTTGATGACTCTTGGTTTTACGCTGGTCCTCCTCATCCTCGTTCTCCTCCTCCTGTTCTTGTTATGATTATATTCGTATTATCATTACGAATATGATCATTATTATGATTGTGCTTATGAGCATTATTATTGTGATTACTACTAGTATGCTGTTTACCTTGTTTTGATGAGATTTAGCCTGAGTATTATTACTACTCGTCTTCGTAATATTCTTGGGAATAATATCATTCGTACTAGAATTATGAGTACTACCCTGTGTCCTTATAAGTACTATCATCATTCACATTAGTATGCCGAATAATGTTACGCATTATGTCATTATTCGTCTTACCAGAAGTCTTGCTATTACTGAATGTCGTAAAACTCGTATTATCATAAATTGTAATCGTATTGTATGGATGCATACTATTATATGCATTCTTATGTTTATTACCATTATTCTTAGTACTCGTATAAGTAGTAGTATTGTTGTTATGATTTGGGCATCGCTGGTATTATGAAAAATCTTCCCTTTTATCTGAATAGTCGTACTCTCTTTACTACGAATCATTAGTATGATTAGTATGTGTATTCACATGCGTCTTCATTGTCCGTATTATTGCCAGTATGGTTCATATGTTTCTGTTTATCCATTCTTACGCGTGTCAGCATTCTCATTATTAATATTGTTACTATGCTTCGTTTTAGTCGCATTCGTATTACTAATTGTTCTGATTAGTACGATTGCTCTTATGGTGAATATTACAGTAGTGGAATTCGCATGAGTACTCTCATTATCATTACCAGTGCTATTAGTATTGCTAAAAGTGTGTTTACATGTATCATTACTCATAGTAATACTATTCGTATTCCTCCGATTAGTCTCAGCAGTAACAAAATTATTAAAATTTGTCCCTATTCATAAAGCTCTTCTTCTGTTTTGTTGTGTCGCTCGTATTATGCTTCTCTTTATTGATATGCATATTCCTCCTCCTCCTGTTCTTATTCCCTCTGTCCCTCCCTCCCTGCCTCCCTCCTTCCCTCCCTCCATGCCTCCGTTCCCTCCCTCCATCCATCCATCTTTCCCTTCCCGCCTTCCCCCTTGCCGCGCCGACCTCCGCCAACAGCCCGTGCCAGGCTCCCACCCCGTCGCCCACGTCGGTTGCGGACGGCGGCAGGCCCCGGTCCCTGGCAGCCCGGAGGCGCGACGATAGCTGCGCCTCGGGGCGGGCGCCGCTGGCCCTCCCCGAAAGGGCGCCCCTCCAGGAAGAGGAAGAGGGGGGAGGACGAGGAAGAGAACGAGGAGGAGAACAAGGGACAGGAGGGGAAGAGGAGGAGGAGGAGGAGGAGGAGGAGGAGGAGGAGGAGGAAGGGGAGGAGGAGGGGGAGGAGGAGGAGGAGGAAGAGGAGGAGGAGAACGAGGAGAACTAGGACGAGGAGGAAAGGGAGGAGGAACTGGAAAAGGATGTAAAACGACGACGACGACGACGACGACGACGACGACGACGACGACGACGACGACGGTTTCAGCAAGCATCCGCGCCAGCGGCGACGTCACAAGACGGCTCGTTCATGAGGGGGACGAAGAAGCAGGAGGAGATGGACGACGACGACGACGACGACGACGACGACGACGAGGAGGACGACGAGGAGGACGACGACGACAAAGAAAACGACGAGGAGGAGGAGGAGGATGAAGAGGAGGCGGAGGAGGAGGAGGGGGCCGCCACACGGGAGAAGTGCTGACTCATCCACGCACACACAAACACAAACAACACACACACAAATTTGTCGGCGGCGCAAAGGAACCTCAGGCGCGGTCGGCAAGTGGGGGTGAAAATCGCGAACGAACTTACTCGAAGACGCCGTGATGGAAGAATCCAGCCACGGCCATACAGATTGGCGGTGGTGTTGGTGGGAAAACAGAGGCACTGCAAAGCTGAAGTACAGCGGCCAATCATGCCGCGGAATGCGGCTCGACGGCAGGAGTTGCATAGCAAGCAACAGCCGAATGCCAATTAGCCAGCGGGGCGGGATTACGACCTGTAAAGCTGCAAGACCAGCCGATTGGTAGGGTTTCGCAAAATCCGATGACCAGGCGAGACCATGGGTAGGGTGCTACCCTGAGAATCGCCAGCGCAAAGCGATACCATGGGCGGGGCGCTAGACCTAGAGGTCGCGGCAACACCACAACAACGAACCCGACGCAACGACAGCATAGATTGGCGGTGACGGAACCCAACACAAGTAGATACGCACATGCGGGGCCGAATCCAGCCAAATTCGCCACGCCGTAAACTCGTTGGTTGATATCCGAGCCACCAAGAGAGCGCTGGCCGAAAACAAGCTGCAGTAGAGGCGCCGACCGAAATACATTAGCAAGGCGCTGTCCGAGCAGCACGGCAAAGACGCGAGGTGCACTGTACGCACCGACGTTTAGGTCGTCATCAAATCGACCAAAGACGCCCCGTACAGGAGACAGGAAAGAGGAGGAGGAGGTGGAGGAGGAGGAAGAACAAGGGCACAAAAGGGACGTACAACGCCGGCAAAGACCGCCAGCGCGCATGCAGAAGCGGCTCAACCCCCCGCGGCGAGGACGACCCAGAAGGAGGGGCCAGGGGGAGGGAAGAGGACCGAACAAACAGAGACAGAGGCAGGAGGGGAACCCGGAGAGACGACGGCGGGGGACCCCACGACTCGGCCGAGCCCACGACCGACCGACGACGGCGACGACCGCGCGACCCCCACGACCAACGAGGAGGAAGGGACCGACGAACCACCGCGGAGGGGAGCGCCGCCAGAGGGCGGCGGGAACGCCACGCCACAATCAACAGAAAAGAGAACGCCACAGGGCCGAAGGCCAGGAGCGGCGAAGCAAGGGAGAGTGAAACACGGGCGAAACATGGCAGAATCAGGAGGCGACAGATGGGCGCGCGCCCAGAGCGACTAATCGCAAAGCATTGGCGGGGGCAAGGCATAGCCTCATACCCGCTCGCGCCGTCGTTCGCAGCACGGCGTCGCCCTCGAACGCCCCGTCGGCCTCGCCCCCCTCTGGGAGCATTGACTGGCCGGAACATGGGCGGGGGACATGGGCGAGAGTGAAGCGGCGAGTAGCAGGGCAAAACAGGCGACGAATCGGCGCGCGACTAGAGCGACTGACGGTGCCAAGGGCAAAACAGCGACAGATTGCTGCTTGTCCGGTGCTTGACCGCCCGACATAGGAGACAGCACCGCGGCGCCCCACTCACGCGCCGCGAGGAAATCGCGCAGGAAGCTCACGCCACGCCACCACGGGCCCAGCGCGCCGCCGCCGAACAGCGCGCAGCGAGCTCTCCATGCCATTTCGCTCTGGCCCCCCACCCGCTCGACGCGGGCCGCGAGCTGTTTCTTGGAGGCATCCGCCAGGCCGGCCAGATGCCCGGCCGAGTCTGCGCGCTCGGCTGATTCGGGCTGGCCAGTCGAGTCTGCGGAGGCCGGCCGGGCGCCAGCGCCAGCCGGCGCTCGCGCTTTGGCAGAGGATGTCGATCACGACCTGTCGTGGGAAACTTACGGTCGAGCTCGTGTTTTTCCTTCTTGTCTGTAGTCCCATGTGAAGTGACCCCAATGTTCACGAGTCCACGGGGAGTCTGCCCGCGCTTCATTGACCGCCAGCCAAAGGTCGCCTTGCGCTTGGCGGGCGAGACGAGGTCCGTCTCCAGACGGCGCCTCCGCAGCGGGCGCGCGCGCGCGATGATCGGCGGGGGACAGGTGGGAGGCGAACGTCTGTCGCGCGCCGCTGCCCCTGCCGCCCGCAGCGACGGCCGCCAGTCTCCAGTCCGCGACGCAGCCGCCAAGGCACCAAGACAGCCGGAGCGGGGCGACACTGGACCTCAGCTCGCGCTGAGTCGCGAGCCGCCACGCTGTCCGAGCTACGCACGCGGTCGTCCAATTCGTCTGCTTCCTCGGCCTGGGCCGACGGCCCCGCGGTCTCGCGGCCTGCCCACCGGGGGCGCTGGCCACGTCGCCCGCGGGGCCCTATCCGCCCCCACGCGTCCGCCCGCTGCCGCGATGCTCAACCCGCTGGGCGACGCAGGCCGCAGCGGCGCACAGCGGCCGTTAGCAACAAGGCGGCGCGGGGCAAGCTCGCCCCGCCCCTCTGAATCTGAAATGCTGTCGCAAGGCAGAGATTGGCAAGATGGTCGGAGAAATACGGATCGAGGCGACTTCCCCCTCAACCCTCGCAGATCTCCGAGGGCCATCCGTCACGCCCCTATCCGATTGAAATTTAACGGGGGCTCCACTTGGACGGAAAGGGGGCGTTGGCAGGCCTACGGCCTGCCGCCCTGGCCCCCCACGGGCCAACCCGCACCTCGCATCACCCGGGGATCCGCGGACAGAACTCACGCGAGATCGACAGGATTGGCGGTGTAGCGTCGACAACGCTGGCGGCGCAACGTCGACAGGGCTGGCGGCGTGCACAGGATTGACTTGGGAAGGTTCGCAGGAGGCGCCCTGCGCCCCGATCGGCGTTGCCCCAGTGACGCTCAGACCACAGAATATTCGTTCAGCGCCAACCTTCAGAAACGCCTCCTCGAACCCCCCGTCGACGCCCACCTCCGCGACCGCGTCGACGACCTCCTTCGTCTCGACGCCCACCTTCCCTTCCATGGCCACCTCCTTGTCGCCCTCCTCGTCATCCTAATCGCACGCGTCGTCGACAGCGCCCCTGACCTCCTCCACCTCCTCACCGAACTCCACGGCGACCCTCCTCCACCTCCTTCGCAACGCCCCCGCCCCCGACCATCATCAGGCGGCCGCGGCAGCCGCGGAAGCGGCCGCCGCCCGCGCGATGGCCCAGCGGGGCGAGGGCGGGGAGGGGGAGGAAGGAGGGCCCGAGAGGCCGAGAGCAGGCCCCCGGCCGCGGCCGCGCAAGCCGGCGCGGCCCCCCTCGAGCCAGAGCGGCTTGAGCCAGAGAGGGTACGGACAAACACACACACACACACACACACACACACACGCGCGCACACACACACACACAGACACACACACACACAGACATATACACACACACACACAAACACACACACACACACAAACACAAACACACACACACACACACACACACACACACCACACCACACCACACCGTGACCTCGCCTGTCCCCCCTTTCCCCTTGAATGACCCGTCCCCCTCCCAGCTGCCGCCCTCCCCCCCTCCCTCCCGCTTCTCCCCTGCCCTCCCAGCCCCCCCCCCCCTTAGGGGGGTCCACCCACCTCTCCCCTCGCATCCTTCCCTCCCCCAGGGGAGTATATCCGGAGGCCCCACGGTGGATTCCAAAAAGGTCTCCCGGCCTCTGGAGGCCTCCGAGGCCTCTGGGAGCTCTGGAAGCTGACGAAGCCCCCCCACCCGAAAAGAAAACCATATTGCGATTCAAAAAACCAATGGGCAGCGGAGGATTTCCCCCTCCCCCCGTCCCCCCCCGAAAAGAAAGATAGATGGCAGCTCATAGAAAAACAATGGGTGGAGAAGGAGTTCCCCCCTCCCACCTCCCCCCCGCGGCCCAGTCTGGCTCCAGGGGCACCCAGGCTTGCGACGCCAGCGCCCGCACCCCCTGCGGCAGGCTGCTTCTCCCTGCGGCTATTCTTGGAGCCTCCTGGACACTCCGCGTTCGGCACTGCCCCACTGGGCAGTGCTGCCCCAGAGGTACGATATCGCAGTTCCCGCGTCAAATCAAGAAAGCCCACCCCCAACACCCCCGACGTCGCAACTTATCCACAGCGTGGACCCCTGGAAGTCTGGACACCTTCCCCAGGGCCGCTTTTTCATCCCGGATCGCGTTCTGACGGTCCTGGGGACCGGTGAGGGCCTCACGAGGCCGAAAACATCAGCAACAAACACCCAGAGACGCGGCCCCCGAGGTCCCGACCTTCCCCCTGGTCCAGCTTTTCAGCCCGAGTCGTTTCGTTGATGGTCCCGGGGCCCGGCGAGGGCCCCCGGAGGCCGAGAACGGAGGGAGGGGAAACAACAACCATAGCAACAACAACAAAAAACAACACCAACAACAACCATCACAACAACAACAACAACAACAACAACAACAACAACAACAACAACAACAACAACAACAACAACAACAACAACAACCACAACCACAACCACAACCACAACAACAACAACAACAATAACAATTACAATAATTGTAATGTTAAGACTGCTCGCCCTTATATGTTCGAGTGTCCA